CACACAGCTTCTCTTTTTCTTAAAATATCCCACATCCCCTGAAAACACTCCTTTCTCACTAGCACCTCATTCTCGTCCAACCCATCCTCCTCACTTTTTTTATCCAACCTCTCAACCTGCTTTACTAGGGTGTCAAATTGAGTCTCCACATTGCCAAACACCCCACTGTTCCATCCTTTACATTCCTCTTTTAAAAGCTTCAACTTCTGTTTACATTTGTATGAGGCCCAACCTTCAATTTGCATAGCCTTCCATCTATTCTCCACAAATTCTTGAAAATCTGGATGTTGTTGCCATGCATCAAGTACTCGAAAAGGCTTGGGACCCCAATCCACATTTCTTGATGTCAAAATGATAGCACAGTGATCAGAAATTGATCTTCGAACACCAACTTGAATCCAATCTCTATCCAACAAACTCATTTCTGTGGAAAGCAAAAACCTGTCAAGCCTGCTCATTGAAGTTCCATCTGGTCTATACCAAGTGAATTTCCTATTCCACAACCTAACATCAAATAACCCAGTCCCCTCCACAAAATGATTAAAATCTTCCATGTCCTGGGTTTCTCCTAATCTTCCCTTCCTCTCTGTGACATTCCAAACTGTATTAAAATCCCCTGCCACAAGCCATCTACCACCCTCTTCCAAAATCAATCCACCAATCTCCTCCCACAACGAAGCCTTCCTCTGCCTATCACATGGAGCATAGACATTAACAAAATTGCATTTAATGTGCTGAGTTCCCCATTCACCAGAAATCCCGATAAAGCCATTTCCTTCTATCACCCTTTGTTTGACAAAATTCCTCTTATTCCATATTGACAACAAACCACCTGAACTACCCACTGATTTTCCCATAACCCAGTCAAAATCATCTGAATTCCACAACGTTTTACACAACGCAACATCCACTTCCTCTAATTTAGTTTCTTGAATAAATAGGAAATCTGGCCTCTCCTTTCTAACTAACTTGGCAATCTCCTTTCTCTTTAACATACTACCCAAACCTCTAACATTAAACGAAATTACTTTCATAAAGAAAAAACTAGACCTCACAAACCTCCATTCTGCCAGCACCCAAGCTTCAGACCCCCCTGGAATTAATCTCGTCCCTCGCCTCCAAAGCTGCCAGCCGAGAGATCACCTCTTCATCGTTGTGTTGGCACTGAATCCCCAACCTTTGCCCCAACTCAAATATTTCCCTCACCTCTTTTGTCTCCAATTGACGCCGAATAATCCCATTTCTGTGCTGAATGCATCCGTCCGACACAGAGCAACTTTCCTGCTGCAGATTCGGCCTCTCCTCTTCTGGCGCTTCTGTCATCCTCCTGTCCCTTCTACTCTTTGGTCAGTTAACAGAATTAACAAAATATTATAAAATTAGTTCTGTTAATTTTGTTAGTTAAAAAAAGATTTTTATTAGCTGACAATCAACTAATAAAATTGATAATCAATTAACAGAACTAATAAAATATTATAATGTGAGGATTGTTTTCTTTCATTTTAATAAGTGAGGGACTAAAAGTGCCATAGTATAAGATAAGGAGCTAAAACCAACAAATCTAGTAAGATAAGGGGCTAAAAGTGTCATAGCATAAAGTAAAAGACTAAAATCTTCAAACTTAATAAGTTGAGGGGCTAAAAGTAGGTTTTTGCTCATCTCTGAAACCTCAACTTCTTAGGTTGTTCAACCTCCCCTCTTCTCCCCTCTGATTCTAAGCAAAACCCCTTTGTAAGTCCTTGAACTTTACCAACTATAAGCTACCAATCCTTGAGCTAAAATAATGAGCATACATAAGCCCTTGAACCCAATGATTGAAGCAAATTAACTTTCATGTTAATGGGGATGCCAACTCTGTTTGTTTAAAGGGTTTTCTTGGCAAGCACTTCACACGTTGCATTCAACGTGTCTTCTAATAGGGAAAAATCCCTTCTTAAGCCCTTGAACTTTATCAACTAGAAACTACCAGCCCTTGGACCAAACAATGAGCATGTAAGCCTCTAAACCCAACAATCAAAGCAAAATCAGCCCTAATGCTAACAGCGACATCAACGTCGTTTTTTTAAAGGGCTTTTGTGGCGTGTCCTTTACACGTTGCATCCAACGTGTCTTCTAAAAGTGCACAATGGGAATCAGTAGCTTTAGCTTATATATTCTCTTACTCTAGTCTAGTTTTGCATGAAGCTACACCAAAAGTTTCTTTTCCCTATAAATAGTTCTTAAAATAGATTCACTTGATCAAAAAAATATTTATTTTTTATTTATATATTAGATTAAATTTTTATCTAAATTTTTTTATTTAAAAGTTAAAAAGTCAAACTAGCAAGGAAATAA